AAGCCATTGGAATACTTGACGCAGGTGAGTGACAAGATCCTCCAAGGTTGGGCTGTAAACTAAGATGTCATCGAAGAAGATAATCACAAACTTCCGCAACCCAGGCGCCAGAGTAACGTTCATGGCTCCTTGGAAGGTGCCCGGGGCGCCCGTGAGGCCAAACGCCATGACTCGAAACTCATACTGGCCCAAGTGAGTTTGGAACGCAGTCTTGTACTCCTCACCCGGCTGGAGGAGGATCTGGTGAAAGCCGGCGCGCAAATCCAGTGTTGAAAACCACTTGGCATTGGCCAACTCATCCATCAACTGATCGAAATCCGGCACTGGAAATTTGGATTTCCTGGTTAAGGCATTAAGATGGCGGAAGTCGACACAGAAGCGATATGACCCGTCCTCCTTGTGGACAAGCAATACAGGGGATGAGAAGGAACTGGAGCTTTGTTGAATCAGTCCTTGGGACAGCATATCCTGGACTTGGCGCTCCATTTCATCTTTCAATTTGGGAGGGTATCGGTATGGACGGATGTACACTGGCTGGGCACCATCAATGAGCAGAATCTCATGGTTACATGCTCGGGATGGTGGTAAGGAAGTGGGAGGTCTGAAGAAGTCATCAAACTCATCGAGTAGACCTTGAATTGCCAAAGGTAGAGCTGGAGGGCTAGAAGGAGTGGCTGCACTGACGCTGACCGATTCCACTTGAAGGAGGATATGGTCAGGGGAATCCGGAAGCAATCCTTGCAACACCTGTGTCTGTCCATCATAAGGAATCGCTAGCCATTTTTGTCGCCAGTGAACCTGCATCGGGCTGAAAGATTCCAGCCAATCCATCCCCACGATAACATCAAACATGGCTCAAGATAGAACCCTGAAATCCGACTGAAAAGAACACTGCCCGACAGACCAGCAAACCTGACGGAGCAACTGAGAACTGTGCAAGATACCTCCTCCAGCAATCTGAACTGCAGCAGTCAAGGGTACAGAATCAACTGACTGAAGCTGGGCAACCAATTCTGTGTTGATAAAAGAGGAAGAGCTGCCTGAATCGACCAATATCTGCACAGGAATGTCACCAATTGATCCCAGCTATGTTACACGGATACTTCACTGAAGACGCGTATCGCGTATCCGATACGTATCGGACACGGATACGTATCCGATACGCCTAGGATACGTATCCTCCGAGTATCCGATTTTGTGTTATTTTTGTTAAAATCGGATACGCCTAGCGGACACGTATCTTCGTCCGGATACGGCCCAGCCCATTAGAAGCCCACGGAGGCAGCCTCAATCCCGCACGCCCGCGATGCATTTCGGTCCCATTCCCGTGATCCCCAAGACGGAGACCTCACGGCTGCGCCCGCGCGTCGCGCCGCAACCCCGCTCGCCGGCCGCCAGCCACCGGCGACGAGCGTCCGCCTCCGCCTCCGCTCGCCGGCGTCCCTACTCGTCGGCCGCCAGCCAAATCCTCCTCATCCTCCTCCCTCTCGTCCCCATCCACGGCCGCCGAAGGACGGACAGACGGACAGAGATCGCGCGCGCCGGCCGGCTCTGCTGCGGAGCGACGGACGGACGGAGATCGCGCTTCGGCGGCTCTGCTGCGGAGCGGACGGACGGTGATCGCAGCGCCTCCGGCTCTGCTGCGGAGCAGAGGGACGGAGATCCAGCGGCTCTGCTGCGGCTGTCGCTCACGCCGGCTCAAGGTCAGATTCACTCTCCTCAATCCTCCCCACCGCGCCCGGGTCTCCTCATGGGTCCAACGACTCCACCGCCGTGTTAGGCTCAAGGTCTTGTTGATTTGCTTGTGTGCGAGATGCGATTAGTCTGTAGTCTGTACTCTGTTAGGTTGTTACTCTGTTAGTGAAATTGCTAGTGTATGTAGTTCGTATTGATGAAGTCATGAAGTTAGTCTTATACTCTTATTGATGAAGTGTAGTTCGTGTTGCTTTGCTTTGTATGCGGTATAGACTAGAGAGTAGAGAGTAGATGGCGTCTCCAAATATGAGCAAAGTGCTAGTGTAGGATCTGCAGACCACAAAACAAGCTCGACATCAAGGCTCCACTTTGGGATCATGTAACCATTACGGAGAAGCCTAGAACTGGTGGAGGAAATGCTATGTGGCGCGCAAGTCTTGTCCAATGCAAAACCGAGTAGTTACACTAGAGTTGAAGCTCATTTGCTGCGAGAAGGAGGAAAGGGAATAGGTAAATGTCCTAATGTTACATATGAAATGCTTAGTGAAATGAGGAAGGAAATTGAAAGGTGCAAGAATCTGGTGGAAAGATCCAAGTCAAGAACTGTTTCTTTGCCTATTGCTCCTTCCTCAAGCAATCTACTTGACAACAAAGAAGAGGAACAAGAGGGGCCTGCTTTACGCATTGGAAAAAGCTTGGGCATTGGAAGACCGTAAGCACTTGGATGCTTTAATTAGTAGAGCAATTTATTCGGAGGGGTATCTTTTAATTTTTCGAGAAATCCATATCTTCGAGAAGCCTTTACCTTTGCTTGCGGCCGCAACATGCAAGGCTATGTGATTCCCGGTTACAACAGTGAGAGCTAGGGAGGGGCTTCAAGCAAGAAAGGAGGCACATAGAGACTTTGTTGGAGAGCACAAAGAGCACATGGGCAGAGAAGGAGTCACAATCTGCTCGATGGTTGGTCGATCCTCGAGGCGACCAATCATCAATTTTGTTCTTTGTTTTCGACAAGGCACCTATGTTCTTGAGGGTCGATAATTGTGAAGGTCAATTACAAATCAAAAGAATACATTCTTTGAGAAGTTGAAGGGTATAATTGAAGAAGTAGGTCGACATAATGTAGTACAAATCATTACGGACAATGCCGCAAATTGCAAAGGTGCTTTGGTCTCATAATAGAATCTGAGTATGATAACATATTTTGGACACCATGTGTTGTGCATACCCTCAATCTTGCGCTAAAAAAGTATATGTGAACCTAAAATAGGAAACAACCCCTCCGATGAAGAATTATTTGCTTGGGGGAACTTGAATTTATGTATGATGTTAAAACCGAGGCTGCTATGATAAAGAATTTCATAATGAATCATGGCATGCGGCTTTCAATGTTCAATGAGTTCAGCCCTTTGAAGTTACTTTCTATTCTTTGAAACAAGATTTGCCTCTGTTGTATGTATGTTGAAGCGGTTTGTTGAGGTAAAACAGCCCTCCAACAAATGGTGATTAGTGACAAATGGAGTGTGTACAGAGAAGTCAGAGATGATTCTCCAACTCCAACAGCCCAAATTGTCAAAGACTTGATACTTAGTGATGTATGGTGGGACAAGGTGGACTACATTCTTAAGATTACTACTCCTATTTATGAAATGATTCAGTATGATGCATAACACCCACACACACCATGTCTTCACTTAGTTTATGAGATGTGGGATTCAATGATAGAGAAAGTGAAGAAAGTCATATATCGATATGAGGGCAAGCAAGAAGATGAGGAGTCAAGTCTGTACTCGGTTATTTATGACATATTGATTGCTAGGTGGACAAAAGGAAATAATCCACTTCATTGTTTAGCTCATTCACTTAATCCAAGGTACAAATTGCCATTCGATTTTTTTCATTGACTTGAATGGTCAAGACAGATTTTTTCATTCACTAAAATCATCATTGCCAATTGTAGATATTATAGCAAAAAGTGGATTGAAGAAGGTCCTGGCCGTGAACCACCCCACAAGGATAAAGAGGTATCAAAATGAGGATGGTTTGCTTCAAGAAGTTCTTCCCATGCCGGAAGAATTGGCTAAAGTAAAAGAAGAGTACTCAAGGTTCTCTAGTTGTTCGGAAGATTTTAATGATCCCGACTCAATCCATGATAGATGGGCTGTTTCCCCTATGACTTGGTGGACAAATCATGGACAATCTGCTCCCTTATTGATGTGTTTGGCCATGAAATTGCTTAGCCACCGACCTCATCATCTTCTTTGTGAAAGAAACTGGAGCACCTATAGCTTTGTCCATAGTGTCAAGAGAAATGCCTTAACTCCAGGCGTCTTTGAAGATTTGGTCTTTGTGCACTCAAATCCGAGAGGCATCTGTCAAGAAGAACTGATGCATACAAGATGTGAGAGACAAGGATGTGGGATGTAGGAGGATTCTTTTGATTCACTTGGTGGTGTTGGCATTCTTGAAGTGGCTGATCTGTCCCTTGATGAACTGAATCGCAAGCTGTGTCTTTTGGTCCGGATGAGCTGCGGTTGATATTGTGGATGACAATGAAACAATTGAGGAATAGGAACTTGCTGCTGCATGAATTGCAAGCCTGAATGCCTTCTACTAATTTTCTAAATTTGAGACTACTATATTTGAGAGTTGATGAGACTACAGACCTTCTGTGCTGTAATAATAGTACTCTTAGAGTCTTAACTCTTAAGTGATTAATTGCAATGTTTTATTGTTATCAGTTATCACTTATCAATTTTAGAACTTGCTGGCTGCTGCTGCATGAACTTGCTGGCTGCTGCTGCATGAACTTGCTGGCTGCTGCATCTGCATGAACTTGCTAGCTGCTGCTGCATGAATTGCTGGCTGCTGCATCAATTTCAGAGTTCAGAGTTCAGACAATAGGAACTTGCTGGCTGCTGCTGCATGAACTGCAAGGTGATGTACTGAACTACTACTGATTAGTGATTACTGAATACTTAAGTAGTCAAGTTTTAGTAATAAATTGATTGATAGTTGGTTACTTGGTTTTTTTGTGCAAATTCTGGACTTGGAGTCTTGGAGAACTCGAGAATGGACAATTGAAGAATGTAGATGCTTCAGGAGTTCCGGTCTTTGCTTTGGCTGGTAATTGCTATTGCAAGGTAATTTACTACTTTCACTCTTTCACAATTTTAATATGCGCTGTTATCTATATTTATTAAAAAACAGTAAAACGTATCCGCGTATCGGGTTTCTTAGAAAATTGCCGTATCCGCGTATCCGTATCCTTCCGATACCGATACGCGTATCCGTATCCGTGCAACTTAGGATCCCAGTAACCGAATGGTGCGGGAGGCTGGAACACCAGTAACTGCGGCTTTGGAAAAGGCCAAGCATAGTTGTTCAGTTGGCACTGGTTTGTCAGAATCTTCAGTCGGCTCGTCATCATCATCGAAACAAAATTCCCAAAGATCATGTACAGCATGAAGCACTTCGGGTGCACACTGATGATCTTTAGACCACTTGGCATTGCACTTATAGCAGAGCCCCAACGCACGCCGGTAAGACTTGATGGAGGCGAGCTTGGCGTCAGCAGGGGGCGTGCTGGCCGTCGTGGTAGGAGCCAGCTTGTCATGGCGAGCCAGAGCGGGCAACAACGGCATTGCGCACGGTGCTAGCGGAGGCCGGGTAGAAGATGACCATTCGCCAGTGCAGGGCGCCCTTGCTGAATGCGCAGGTCATGCCTCCACCTGTAACAATGCAATTGTGCAAGCAGTATCCAAGTTTAGAGGATGCAACACTAGAACAATAGATTTGATGTCTTGGCGAAGACCATCAATAAAGCGCATGGTAAAGTACATGGGGTCTGTATTGGAAGAACAGGACGACAGCTGATCGACCAATTCAGTGAACTGAGTAACATACTTGGCGACAGTGGAAGTTTGTTTGACGTGGAAGAGCTGCCGGATTAGCGGCTCTTTTTGGTCACGGTGAAAACGGTCATGGAGGAGACGACAAAAGCCTTGCCAGTCAGAGAGATTGAGGTTGGGTTCCATAGATTGGAACCAGCGAGCTGCAGCCCCATCTAAATGATGCTTAGCGACACGGATCCACATGAACTCGGCGACGCCATACATGTCGAAGTAATTTTCAGACAGGGAACGCCAGTGGCGAGGATTATCCCCATCGAATGGAGGAAAGGATAGTTTAGGAAGACGGCCAGTAGCTTGGTTTGCGTTGGTGTTGGCAGCAACGAGGGTTCCATGGGGACGGGGCGGTGTGGGAGCGGGAGGAGGTGGGAGCGGTGGTGGGCGGGGAGGAACCGTGACCGGGGGTGGGTGTGGAAAATCGAAAGCGGCTAAATCAGGACGATGAGGAGCGGAAGAGCACGTACCCTTGGCCGGACGTGCGTCCAGGTCGTGACGACCCCGGAGGCCACATCCCGTGTAGTCGTGTTGACGCGGTGCCCGTGGGGCCGATCGGCGGTGAGCCTGGCAGATGAGTGCATAACCGCCAAAGTTGGGGACGGAATGATCCCGGGCTGGTGCGACATTGTGTCGAACACCGCGCGGTCACACTTGACGCCGAGCTTCTGGACTTGCAATCGGACATCATCCAGGAGACCCTCCACGCCGGGACGCCAGGCAGCGAGATCCGCGGCCGTGGACTCGAGCGCCGCCACCCGCGCGTCGCGTTCGTCCTTGATCTGCGTGACGCGGATGGCCTCCAGCTCGGAGATCCGCTGAGAGTAGTCAGCGTCGCGGTCGACGTAGCTCGCCTCGAGGGAAGCGAGACGTTGCTCGACGGCTGCGGCCACGGGATCGACTCCAGCTCGGAAACGCGGCGCTCCAGCGCGTCGGAGGAGGAGTGGGCGGCTTCCAGGGCCGCGAGGCGCGAATCGACCGCCATAGAGCGTTCCGCGAACTGGCGGTCCCGGTCAGCGAAGCGACGGTCAAGCTCGTCGAACCTGGAGTTCATGGTGTCCAGGATGAGTTGGAGGTTGGGATCCATAGCTCCGCGAGACTGCTGGAGCCGAGTGAAGTGGGGGTGGGGGGGAAGGAAATCTAGGGTCGGAAACGAGATATCTGATACCAATTGTGAGAGCCAGGAGGAGGGATTGGGGAAGAAAGGGGAAGAACAGCAGAGAACAGGAAGGAGTAGCGACGAAGGCACGATGGCCAGATTAGTTTTAGGAATATTGTTGACATAAAATTCATACATGCCCTCTCTCTCGCAGCCTCTCAGACTATAAGAATACATCACTTGGGCCACATTGGGCCAGACACTCGGACGCTGGGCCTGCGTACTCTTGTGGGCTTGGGCAAAAAACGGCTCCTGGGTGACGGACGCGCCATCAGCTTCTTCAGGATCTGCCTCTGCAGGTGTGGCCGTCAGGTTGCTGACAAATTACTTGTATACGATTAAGGGCATTACATATATATAATTGGTATTACTTATGTACAATATATTACAATATATACAATTGGAATTACTTATATTTTAACATTTACTATTTTGTTCAAGGAAACTCTGGTCGTACATGAAAAATGTGTCCATCATAGTGGAATTCTCCTGTCCGACTTGACCTCGTCCATCATAAATCCCATGAGCTGTTCTTCCTTCATCTTCATCTTCTGTCATTTCCAAAATTGTGAATATATTAAAGCAACACTCCAACACAATGTGAAAAGAATAAATTATATCTGAATGTTGTTTACGTACTTGGATATCGGCACTCGTCACTTTGTCACTTACAAAATTGTGAATGAAATCAAAAACGGAATATCCGCATTAGTTATTAGTTATTCCCCGGTTTCTATACATGCAAACTACCAAAACAATTTGAGCTCTAATGAATGTATGAATAAAAATCACAATATCCTAATCGTAAACGGTGAGAGGATACAGTTGTTAACCTTTAGAGCACTTGGATCAGTGAAATCTCCAAAAAGATGTCGAGAAATCGGGCAGCAACTCCATGATGCCCGTAGCACCACGAACATAGCTTTCTATAAAAATTTCAAGATTTCAGAATTAATGAAATAGTCTATATAAATTAAACTAGTTTTTGCAAGTATTGCATTAAATCAGTGCTTAAGATACCAGTTTGAAATATTCACATAAAAATTTTGACCATTTATCTCAGCAGCTATAATTTTGTGAATTTAAAAAGCACAGAACATTGCTTAACAAAAATAAAATAATTACTGCATACAAGCTATACTAATGATAAAATTTTACACAACACTCATACATGCATGAACACTTAATTGTAAAAAATTCATGATTTTTGGACAATAGGAAAAACATAAACAAATAAATCTATCTCCATTAAAAAAACCTACAATTTTTACTATCTCCTTCTTCTATTTAGTTAGTTCTCTATTCCCATCTTACTCCAACCAGCCAACATGTATACATGCAAACTTCCAAAAAAATTAGAGCTCAAATGCATGCATGAATAAAAAAAGCTCTCTCCATTCACTCCATTCTTAAAACTATAATTTCTATATCTCTGAAGCAAGAAACACAATATCCTAACCATAAAAGCAAGAAACACAATATCCTAACCATAAAAGGAGTGAGAGGATGAAGTTGCTAAGCTTTAGAGCACTTAGGAGTAGTGAAATCTCTAAAACAGTGTAGAGAAAAATTGGGCAGCACCTCCTCTTCTTCTTCCTCCCCAGATGGCTTAAACATGAGCTCTATATTCATGGCTCGGGCTCGAGGAGGAAGAAGAAGGGGGTATAAGCCTGAGGCACATTAGCACCAGTTGGTGTGTTCAACTACATTAGTACCGGCTAGTAACACCACCCGGCACTAATACGCGCACATTTAGTACCGGTTGGTGTTACCGACCATTACTAATGTTCCTCCAGGGCCACTACTACACAATGCTTAATGGACGCAGGTGAAATGGATTTATGGAGGCAGGCATTACAACCACCTCCAATCAAAGGTCTCCGTTAATGCGGATTAACGGAGGCGGGTGCCTTAAGGCAACCGCCTCGGTTAATTTCTATTAACAGAGGTGGTCACCCCCGTTAATCGATTAGCTAAGACAGTTGCAATAAAGCGCTCGCATCCGTTAACCGATTAACCGAGATGGCTAGTTATTATTTGCCCGCCTCCATTAATGATTTTCCATTTAAAAAAATAGTTTACCGCCATTTGATTCAAATTTGAATTTGAATTCTGTCTTTGCAAATTAAACATAGACAAAGCAGAAAATACACATATAGAGCACAAACATATATCACATTCATTCATGTCTCATCCTTATCATACCACGAACCAACATTCAAGTTATTACATGCATGTCATATATTTACATGTGAAACTAAGATCACCGCTACTTTAATTTCCCTAATCCAAAGAGGTCCGATAAATTGTAATCCGGGAAGCATAGCATGGTGCTCCAGTTTCTAATCTTCTCGTACTTCTCTGCAATTGCGAACTCGCTCTGCTCATTGAAGAACGTTCCCCCAACATGCATGCAGGACTCCGTGACAAATTTACATATGTCCACTACTATTCGAGTGAAGTTCTTATGGGTTACCTTTTCCTTTCGCCACCAATCTTGTGATTTCTTGAGCTACCGCCAGCTGTTGCTGAATTTGCGGCACGCTCTCAGGTAGTCGCAAACGTAGTATCCACATAATACTTGTTTACACCAGATTTTGGAATGGTACACGAAAACTCAAAATTTTCGGGATTTGCGGTAACAGCCGTGTCATTTGAAGAATCGGCTAAACCGGACCGGTGTCAGAATCGACGTATAGGCCATGACGTCATGCACTTGTTCTGATTTGGATGTTACCGATAAGAAAAGCGGGGACGATTGAAGCTAAAAACGTGTCGGACTCTAGATTTAGGGTAAAATAGAGACCAATGTATCTTAAATTAGGATGTTTTCTTCTATTCCAAGTTTTGTAATAGTCATGCTCGACTATGACTCTTGTTTAAGCCTTGGGTATAAATATTGCACCCCGGCTATTGTAGAATCAATCAATACAACAAACTTTTCGTCTTCACGCCAACCCTTAGGAGTAGTACTGTAGATTTTGGCGAGTTCTTCAATAAGCAGGGCTGCATCGGTTAGGTCCGACCTCCGGTTTGTTTCAAGTACCGTCACGACTTATATCTATCCTTGTACGTCTATATCTTTTGATCCCCACTGCGAGTATTGATATAAGTTAGGTATCGATTTATCTAGATTAAAGAATAGATGTATCCTTGTGACCTCACTGGTTGATTTGGATTAAATCACCGGTTATCGAATCTATTAGAGATTAGTAAGGCTTCCTTGCTGTTTTTAGTAGATTCATCAGTTATCGATCTTGCTATTATTGATATCTTTATTAATTATAGCAACATCACCAATTTACCCGATCGAGGTCAAGATAGATCGGCAACATATTATGTCAATCGGTTGTCTTTTTACCATATCATGTTTAAATTCTATTTTGACGATTGATTCTGCCAGATCGGCTGCTATATCTTGATCTTGATCAAACATAGTGCGCGTTCAAGACATATTTGATCTTAAATAAGTACATTGATTAATGAAAACTGATATATCGTTCTTTACCATAGCTATATTGCTTCGATCCTCACTAGTAGGGCTTTAGATTGGAATTTATTGATCATTGAGTTTATTTAATGTTAGATATGATCTTGTTTGTTCACTATGTCTACATCGGCTATTTAGTTGATTGCTTGCACTCTCATATTTATAGCATGCTTTCATGATTCTATTGAAGTATAAATAGATCTATCGACTTATAAGCTTTAATCTGCTGTCTTTGTCATAGCTACATCGCCTCGAACCTCCCTGATAATGATAATAGATAAAATCTTATTGGTTTATAGATTTATTTGTATTAAACTGTCGATTGCCTGCATGCTATGCCTTTAATTTATCCGAATCGGCTATATAGCCGATAGTATTCAGCTTGATTATTCATGAACCTGGTTGATATCGACTCTTTAGTCGATGGCCTTCATTCAACGAATCTTTAGCCATACATTAGAACAGTTTGGAGCAATAACAACATGTTCCGCCTTAAATTACTGATTATCCCTTCTCTCCTTGTCAATTGTAGGCTCAAGTTGACTGGCACGCCGACGGTCTCCGAATCGACTCATCCCACTATTGAAGCCAAGCAGATCCGCAGATCTCCCGGCTTCCCTGAGTGTGTTGTCTCGCATTGATCCACATTTTTGCGTCAACACACCTTTTGGCATGCCTGGTCGGACCACAATCGTCAAGATGGATAATAAGGGAGTCCTCAACATTGACTTTGAAGAGTTGCCTGAAGACCATAAAGCAATCATAAACAAAGCAACAGAAGAGTATCAAGAAAAATGCTTGACATCATATGGCAGGGTGCGCGACAAGATCATTTAGAAATATCCATTGCCAAGGGTTCTTTTGCATGGACAAAGGGATCTAGATGATAAAGTCGAGACCAAAGCTGCGCAAATTGATGTGATCAATAAGACTGCATTCATGATGCACTTAGGAATCATAATGAGGTTTTCCTAAACACATTCCAAAACATTATGAAAGAAGTGTTTTATGGAGCACCAATTGATCGAGATGGGGCCAACATACTTCAATATTCAAAACTCATGGGCTAATGGAAATAATGTGGCTAGTACAAGTTGAAATTAATGATAGCGGCAGATGCAAAGAAGAACCTAATGGTTCCAATGATCAATCAGTTCAACATCCTTGGGCAAACTCAACAAAGATTCAAAGGTAACAAAATGATGGCACCACCTACAAATCAAGGTAGTCGGTGGCCACATTCAATACTTCAAATCAAATCCCGCCATCAACTCAAAAAATTGCTCCATACATTCAAAGGATCATTAGGAACATTGGTCCAAATTCTTATAATCAAGGGTTTCAAGGATCAACACAACAAAGGACTCAACAGATTAATTATCCTCAAGATTTTCATGCTATTTCTGATTATAATACTTACAACATGGCACCAAATCTAGGATATCAAGGTACTCAGAATTATAATACATATATAGACGGGTCAAGGTCAAGAAAGGGACAGCAGGTCGCAAGCCCAAACAACGATGAGCTATTGAATAGGATAACCGAAATGATGCAAAATCGATTTGGTTTGAAGCCCAAAAGTCAAACTTTGTCGTATCGACGTCCATACCAAGAGTGGTATGATATGATATAGTAGCTCTCCACCATGATATAGAGTTCTAGATTTCACTAAATTTACTAGACAGGATGGAACAACAACTATGGAACATGTCGCCCATTTCCTTGCTCGGGCTTGGGAGAAGCTTCTTCCGAACAAGAACACATGGTTCGCTTCTTTCCCTTGTCCTTGTTTGGGCCAGCCTTTACTTGGTTCTCATCTTTGCCAGCCCAATTCTATTAACGGATGGGTTAATTTGGAAAAGAAGTTCCATGCTTACTTCTATCTTTGGGACAGGAGAGAAGAGGATTACAGATCTCACAAGCATGAGACAGGAAAAACAATTAATCGGGTCTTGAGTTCCTCCAAAGGTTTAGAGAGACCGAAGCTTATGTTATTCGTTAAATTTGTCGATGGCCAATTGGCTGATTTGGCCACTCAAGGAATGACACTCGCAATCAAGGAAAA